GTTTTGTTGCGCGCATGTTAAATTTTCATTTCCTGCTTAGTCCCTAGAGATTGTTATGGGGCAAGAAAACAAAACAGACGCATGATGCTAATATGTTTTATTGTGTGTAATGCCAACGAGATTCTGTGTATCAATTGGTACTTCGGATGCTAGGATACCATAAAGAATAATGACTGAGAAACCTTGCAGAATCTTTTGTGAAAGCAGGAAATAAATGATAATGACAAACAAACCTTCCAGTATCCTCTGTGAGAAAGGGAAAGAGGGAAAAAGCAAGAAAATCTAATTGGAGTTTATTGGCTGAGATTAAAGCCAGATCTCCCAATGAAATTATTTGGAAGAAATTAGGTTTTCAGTTACCTAATGTTTACCCTGTCACTTACCAAATACTGTACCTCTTCTTCTTCTTCTTCTTCTTCTTCTTATTCCACGAGGTGCTGCTTTTGAGGTCCAATATACAACAGTCTTTAACTTTCTCCTTTTCTGTTTCTAAACTCAGCACAATGAAATTGTAAAGTAACACATGCAGGGTCAGTCTACACTATACAATTAATGCAGTTTGACTCCACTTTAGTTGCTATGGCTCAGTGCTGTGGAATCCTGGGAGTTGTAGTTTGCTGAGGTACCAGTATTCTTTTGCAGAGAAGACTAAAAAACTAAATCTTCCATGATTCCATAGCACTGAGCCATAGTCATTAAAGTGATTTCAAATTTTATTGATTTTACAGTGTAGAATGTACACTTCAGTCATCCAGGTATTTTGGAGTTCAACTCCCATAATTCCTGATGGGAGTTGAAGTCCAAAACACCCGAAGGGCAAAAGTTTGCCCATGCCTGTCTCAATGTAATTTGATTATCTGTTGACCTCAAGACTTAGACTGAGCCTAAGGGGGAAAAGGAAGGGGCCTGGGGCTGTTAAGAATGGTAGGAGTTGAAGTCCTAAACACCTGGAGGGCCAAAGTTTGCTCATACCTGGTGTAGATGCACTCGCGGACAATACAAATAGATTTTAATTACAATATCCAGAATCCCTCAGTGAATGTGGACACTGACTGGGGAGCTCTGGGAACTGATCTAAAAGAAATAAGTTTCCTAGGCTCCAAAGCATAGAAGTAGAGTTAATAAAGTCTGACTCAGATAGTGTAGCTATACTGTTAACAGTATCGTCATCGATATTTTTATTGTAGTAGGTGATTAAAACAATGTATGAAAGCACACAAAATGAAAATCCAGGCAGTAGCAGATGATGTTGCACAAAACATTATGCAACACTTTCAATATTATCAGTAACAAATTCAAAGTAAAACAGAGCCTCTGAGACAATTTGTAGCAAAACAATTTCTGATTCTCTCCTAATCTTTGTTCTCCTCTTTTTATTGCAACCAAAGAACCACTTTGTATGTTATTTGTATTGGGCAAAAGAAATTGAACAAAATTCTACAAGAGCATTCCAACTTGAATCATAAAGGGTTTCAAACTCTTTCTGTAGGGTATAGTGCTTTCATCTTCACTGTAGAATAAGTGCAGTTTGATGCCAGTTTAACTGCTATGGTTCACTGCTATGAACCCTGGGTTGTAGTTTTACAAAGTCTTTTGCGTTCTCTGCCAAAGAGTGTTGGTACCTCACTAAACCACAACTCCCCAGAGTCCATAGCATTGAGCTTTGACAGTTAAAGTGGTTTCAAACTACATTAATTCTACAGTGTAGCTATATTCTTAGAAAAGGTGGCATAATGTTTTGTCAATCAACTAGCTCTCAACATCTTTTCAAAAAAAGAAATGGCAAAAAACACGAAAATAATGTAGAGACCGTGAAATGATAGTTGTAGTTTTACAAGGTCTTTACCCTCCTTTGTCAAAGAGTGCTGCTGCCTCACCAAACTACAAATCCCAGGATCCCATAGCATTTAGCTGTAGCAATTTATTTCTCTTATTTCGTGTCAAAAGCATTGCATAAAATGGTTTATCTAAAACTGATAAAATAAAGGGATCACAAGCTGCTAGATAGTTTTAGGCCTAAAACAAGCAACAGACAGACCTTTCACACAATCCTATATCCCAGAATATCAAGGCAGGAAATTCCACATCTATCAGTGATGTCGAGATCATCTGGTTTGCCTACTCTGGAACATGCAACATATCTTTGCCCTTCCATAGGGTCCCTTTCAAACCTAGCATACTCTCTCTCTCTGTGCGCGAATCATATCAATCTATCTATACCTATGGCTGGATGGCTCTTTGTCAAGAGGGCTTTGATTACATTTTCTTGCCCAGGTGAAGGAGTTGGACTGGATGGCCGTAAGTATTTTCTGTTGGTCATGGGGTTCTGTGTGTGAACTTTGCCCCAATTCTGTCATTGGTAGGGGTTAGAATGCTCTTTGATTGTAGGTGAACTATAAATCCCAGCAACTACAACTCCCAAATGTCAAGGCCTCTTTCCCCCAAACTCCATCCGTGTTCATATTTGGGCATATGAAATATTCGTGCCAAATTTGGTCCAGATCCATCATTGTTTGAGTCCACGGTGCTCTCTGGATGTAGATGAACTACAACTCTACGTGGGGCTGCCCTTGAAAATGGCTCGGAAATTCCAACTGGTCCAATGGTCGGCGGCCAGGTTGTTAACCGGCGCTCCTTACAGAGAGAAGTCAACCCTCCTGTTTAAGGAGCTCCATTGACTGCCGTTCATCTTCCGGTCCCAATTCAAGGTGCAGGTGCTCACCTACAAAGCCCTAAACAGTTTGGGACCCGCCTACCTGCGTGACCGCATCTCCATATATGAACCCACACGTTCCCTTCAATCATTTGGAGAGGCCCTGCTCACGATCTCACCTGCGTCGCAAGCGTGTTTGGTGGGGATGAGGGACAGGGCCTTCTCTGCGGTGGCCTCCCGACTCTGGAACTCTCTCTCCAAGGACATCAGACAAGCCACAACGTTGGCAGTCTTTAGGAAGAGCCTGAAGACCTGGCTGTTCCAGTGTGCCTTTCCAGAATAGGAAACTCCTAGCATCATGTCCCAAATGCACTTTGTTAGCGATTTAGGAATGTCTGCACATTGCACCTACTTCCAAAAAACCTCTACATATCACCTGTCAAGTCTAGCACTTTTTAAATTTTGTCCATTACATTTGGCCCGGCCTTTAGGTTTTAAATGCGTCATGGTGTCATTGTTTTTAGTGTTTTATTGTTTTGCTTGATGTTTTATTATTTGCTTATGAGTTTTACTGTTGTATTTGTATGCTGTTGTTTCTTGGTGGCCTTGGCCTTTGTAAGCCGCATCAAGTCCTTCGGGAGATTTTGCGGGGTATAAATAAAGTTAATAATAATAACTCCAAAACTTAGGGTCAATGCCCACCAAACCCTTCTAGTGTTTTCTGTTGGTTGTGGGAGTCCTGTATGCCACGTTCGGTTCAATTCCATCATTGGTGGAGTTCAGAATGCTCTTTGATTGTAGGTGAACTATAAATCCCAGGAACTACAACTCCTAAATGGCAAAATCAAAAATTTTGAGTATATATATTTATATTTATCGTGTCATCTGCAACCAGAACATTGTATTACATTTCTAACAGAACAAAACAAACAAACAGATAAAAAAAACAAACACAAATTTTGCAAACTTGGTAGCTGATTAAATGTCCTTTGACCAGTATCTGGCCACTTGGAGTGCCTCTGGTGTTGCCGCAAGAAGTTCCTCCATCGTGCATGTGGCAGGGCTCAGGTTGCATTGCAGCAGGTGGTCAGTGGTTTGCTCTTCTCCACACTCACATGTCGTGGATTCCACTTTGTAACCCCCATTTCTTAAGATTGGCTCTGCATCTTGTGGTGCCAGAGCGCAGTCTGTTCAGCGCCTTCCAAGTCGCCCAGTCTTCTGTGTGCCCAGGGGGGAGTCTCTCATCTGGTATCACCCACGGGTTGAGGTGCTGGGTTTGAGCCTCCCACTTTTGAACTCTCGCTTGCTGAGGTGTTCCATAGAAAACTATGTCTAGATTTAAGTCGTTGATGTGCTGGCTGATACCCAAACAGGGGATGAGCTGGAGATGTCTCTGCCTTGGTCCTTTCACTATTGGCTGCTACTTCCCGGCGGATATCAGGTGGTGCAATACCGGCTAAGCAGTGTAGTTTCTCCAGTGGTGTAGGGCGCAGACACCCTGTGATAATGCGGCATGTCTCATTAAGAGCCACATCCACTGTTTTAGTGTGGTGAGATGTGTTCCACACTGGACATGCATTCTCAGCAGCAGAGTAGCACTGCGCAAGGGTAGATGACTTCACTGTATCTGGTTGTGATCCCCAGGTTGTGCCAGTCAGCTTTCGTATGATATTGTTTCTAGCACCCACTTTTTGCTTGATGTTCAGGCAATGCTTCTTGTAAGTAAGCGCATGGTCCAGAGTGACTCCCAGGTATTTGGGTGCGCTGCAATGCTCCAGTGGGATTCCTTCCCAGGTGATCTTCAGAGCTCGGGATGCTTCTCTTTTTTTGAGTGAAGGACATACATTGGGTGGTTAGGTGTATGCTGTCCAAATTTGGTGTCAATTGGCCCACTGGTTTTTGAGTTCTGTTAATCCCACAAACAAACATTACTTTTTTATTTAGATGGGGAGAGAGAGAGAGAGAGAGAGAGATAGGCGGGCTTGGAGTTTCCCTTTCGCGGCTCGTGACAGGAAAAGAGGCCCACTCTGGGCAAAAAGGAGGAGGAGAAAGAGTGGGAGGACACCATGCGCTCCTTCCTTCCCTCCTCTTCCCTCCTCCTCCTCTTTCTGGGCAGGACCATTTGTTGTCGCTTTCAGCTCTCGAAGGAGGTCGGGTAGGAACGTACCATTATCACGCAGAAATGGGGAGGACGGCTGCTTGAGCGCCCTCGAAACCACACTCCCAGCCACCAGAAACAAAACGCCTGTGACGTTTTGGGACACAGTTAAATGAAACGCGAGGCGGGGTCAGAGGCTGTGTCCACCGAGTGAGGCGAGTCCAAGGCGTGCCTCCCCCCGCGCCGTGCAATGGTTCGTCCCAACGGGCAGCCGCTTCCTCCTCCAACTCGCTCTGCTCCTCAGAGAGGCGTCCGTCGTGTGAGGGGCGCGGAGAAAGGAAGGCGAAGGCGAGGAGCGGCCGGGGAAGAAGGCGGCGTGGGGGTCCTTCGCGATGTCGGTGGCCTTCGCCGCCCCCAGGCAGAGGGGGAAGGGCGAGATCACGCCGGCTGCGATCCAGAAGGTGGGCGGAAGGGCCTGGGCGGGAAGCGGGGCAACCCGGGGCCGGGAAAGGCTTCCCTCCGCACTGGCCGCTGAGCCCAGCTCGCAGCTGGAGCCAGGAAACACGCTCCCACCAAAGCTCGCCCTTTAAACGCCTCTTTGCTCTCTGGCTTCTGTCACCACCACCCTATCTGGGCCTCAAAGTGGGTCCTGGGCTTCCTGTGTCATCACTTTCTTCAAACTGCGCTAAATGGTCAGTGCAGATGGGACAGTGGCCTTCCCGAAACCCAGGAAGGTAGCCGAGGCCCTGAAGGGAATGATGACGAGAGGAACAAACCCCTCTTGCTCTGTGAATGGAGTCCTTCTTTGTTCCTTCCACCGAGGGCCCTTTAACACAGTCCTATCACCCAGAATATCAAGGCAGATAATCCACAATATCTGCCTTGATCTGGATTATCCGAGTCATAGAATCAAAGAGTTGAAAGAGACCTCATGGGCCATCCAGTCCAACCCCCTGCCAAGAAGCAGGAATATTGCATTCAAAGTCCACACTGCTCTATGTCCCAGTTCAAAGCCGATCATGTGGGTTTTTATTCATCTGTGTGGAAGGGGCCCCAAAATATCAAGACAGATAACCCACAATATCTTTTTTGATCTAGGCCAGGGGTCCTCAAATTAAGGCCTGGGGGCCGGATGCAGCCCTCCAAGGTCATTTATCCGGCCCTTGCTAAGGGTCAACCTAAGTCTGAAATGACTTGAAAGCACACAACAACAACGACAACAATCCTATCTCTTGAGCCAAAACCAGGCCCATACTTCCCATTGAGATACTAATAAGTTTCTATTTGTTTAAATTGTTCTTCATTTTAATTATTGTATTGTTTTTAAGTGATTTTGCACTACAAATAAGATATGTGGAATGCATACGAATTCATTTGTGTTTTTCTCAAATTATAATCCGGCCCTCCAACAGTTTGAGGAACTGTGACCTGGCCCTCTGTTTAAAAAGTTTGTGGACCCCTGATCTAGGCTATTTTGAGTCCGCACTGCCATATAATTCAGTTCAAAGCAGATAATGTGGGATTTTATACAGCTGTGTGGAAGAGGCCACATTGAGCATTCCTTATCCCCAATTCTGAAAATGGCTCACCCCGCTCTCCGGATTTGAATCACCGACCTTTCGGTCAGCAAGTTCAGCAGCTCAGTGGTTTAACCCACTGCACCACAGGGGGCTCCATGCCTGGTCCTAATATTCCCAAATTGTCTTAATTGGTGGCATCTGTACCAGGCATGGAGCCCCCTGTGGTGCAGTGGGTTAAACCACTGAGCTGCTGAACTTGCTGACCGAAAGGTCGGTGATTCAAATCCGGGGAGCGGGGTGAACTCCCGCTGTTAACCCCAGCTTCTGCCAACCTAGCATGCAAATGTGAGTAGATCAATAGGTACCACTTCCGTGGGAAGGTAACAGCACCTCATGCAGCTTAGAAATGGAGATGAGTATGACCCCCACCACCTTTCACACAGCTGAATAAAATCCCACATCTGCTTTGAACTGGGATATATGACAGTGTGGACTCACATACCCTAGTTCAAAGCAGATATTGTGGGTTTTCCTGCCTTAATGTTCTAGGACAGAGGTCCTCAAGCTAAGGCTCGGGGGCCGGATACGGCCCTTCAAGGTCATTTCTCTGCCCCTCATTCAGGGTCAACCTAAGTCTGAAACAACTTGAAAGCACACAACAATGACAATCCTATCCCATCAGCCAAAAGCAGGCCCACACTTCCCATTGAAATACTTTTGAATAAGTTTACATTTGTTAAAATGGCTCTTCATTTTAATTATTGTATTGTTTTTAAGTGGGTTTTTTTGCACTACAAATAAGATATGTTCAGTGTCCCTAGCAATTCATTCATGCTTTTTTCAAATTATAATCCGGCCCGCCAACAGTTTGAGAGACTGTCACCTGGCCCTTTGTTTAAGAAGTTTGGGGACCCCTGTTCTAGGATATAGGGCTATGTGGAAGGGCCCTAAATGTCAAAGGGAAACCTTTACTTACACCAGGCATGGGCCAACTACGGCCCTCTAGGTGTTTTGTACTTTAACTCTCACAATTCCTTACAAGGCCCATGGCCTTCTCTGCCACAGAGTCACCAAACTACAACTCCTAGGATTCTCTAGCATTGAGCCATGCCAGTGAAAGTGGTGCCAAGCTGCAATCATTCTACAGTATTTGCTCTCAGATGGTTCATTATATGTATACTTCATTTCATACACAATTAAAAATTACCTTCCAGCAATGTATATAATAATCAGGTGTGTGAAAAACCTGAATTATTTTCATGTTGAAACTTGAGCCCCATCTCCAAGCTATCTCGTTGTGCATTTGCAGAAACAGGTACAGCTTGGCTGTCTCTTACCTGAAATGTTTGGAACCAAATGTGTTTTAGATTTTGTTTTTTTTTCTTTCCGATTTAGATTATTATTATTATTATTATTATTATTATTATTATTATTATTGCAATATTTATTTATACCCTACTTTATATTTCCCAAAGGAAACTCAAAGAGGCTTAACATAAAAGTATTAGCAAACAATTTAAAATATGCAAACATTAAAACAGAATTAAATATAAACAGCATTAAAACATTCACAGTTAAAATCCATTAAAACATATTCAAAGTTAAAAACAGACAGTCCCCAAGTTACAAACAAGAAAGGTTCTGTAGGATTGTTCTTAAGTTGAACTTGTTTGTAAGTCAGAAAAGGTACATTTTTTAAGTGTAACTACAGCCAAAAATATTTATCTTTTCGCTTTTGGAGAAGGGTTTGGAGAAGCATCAACAGCTCTGTGGCGTTTGTTTTGCTGTCTGTGCCCCTGTTCAAAAGATTTCATCTCACTTTCTGTCCCTGTGAAAATTGGGTTTTGAAAAAATGTGAGTTGTTGTGGAAACAAGGATGGTAGATAAAACTTCAGTGGGGACACCTTTTCTCCATGATAACTCAGGAGTGGATTTCCCTTCCAAGGTGTAGATATTAGACAATGCATATACAGGTTCTGTATCTCTTATCCAAAATGCATGGGACCACAAGTATTTTGAATTTGGGGTATTTTTAGATTTTGGATTATCTGCATTTGTATATACATATATAATGTGATAACTTGGAGATCCACATAGAAAATTTAATTCATGTTTCATATACATTTTATGCACATAGCCTGAAGTTAACTTTATACAATATTAATTATTTCATGCATGAAATAATGTTCACTGACGCTTCAGAAAGCAAAGGTGACACTATCTCAGCCACCCATATGTTTTGGGTTTCAGGATTTGGAATAAGAGATGCTCAACCTATATTTGGGGTTACAGTATTAGTTGTAAGATAGTGGCAGTCACAGGTCTCATCTTAGGTCCCATTCTCTGCTTCAGTGTTCGGCGCTTTAGAGTCTGCTGGGATCAGAGGGAGCAGGGCATTGCCTCAGGACTATATGCTTTAGTTCCATTATAAATGGAATACAGTGTTCCCTCACTTATCGCAGGTGTTCCGTGAAATAGGGACACTCCTTCTCCCCCTCTCCCCCACTTCACCTTCTCTTTCCTCTCCTCTTTCCCCACCCTACCTCCCTCGGGCACCCATGCCACCCTCCCCTGGCAAGAGGGACACTTTTGCCTGTGCAACCCTCCTCCTCCTCACCTTCCCTCCCTCCCTCCTTGCCTTCTTTCTTCCTTTGCTTTCCCTCCACTTCTCCCTCACTTGGGAGCTGCTGAGCTGCCAAGGGGAGAGGGGAGGCGAGGAGGAGGAGGGCCATGCAGAGAAAACCGCGAAATAGCAAGTCCGCAGTAAGTGAACCGCAAAGGAGCGAAGGAACACTAGTTTGGAAAGGTATTATAAGCTAAACTTTCTGGAAAAGTAACAATCTAAGTTTTATGGGTTCACGGAAGGTGAGAATAGACATTCTTTCACATTGTAGGAGGGAGTAAGAAGGTGAACAGAACAGTGAACATACTATTGTAACTCTTAAAACATGTAGCTGTGATTAAATAAATATATATACTTGAACGCTATGGATTTGCAACATGAAATAATTGTGCATCTGAAACATAAGTTTGATAGTGGTGGGTAGAAGGCTAATAGGAACTGCAACCATGTAATGCATAGCTTGCAATTACATGTGAAACTGGAAAGATTAGTAATGAAAATGTGTAGGTGTTTTAGCTTCTGGAGTTTCTTAGTTCATGACAATGGTAATTAATGTACTGAGAATGTAAAACTCTTGTTGGTACATGTTGCCGATACAAAGTCTCTTACTCAAAACTGTTTTGAAATCTAAAAGCTGCATTTATTGCATTAGTGCTTCCATATTTAAAGTTATTATCACCTATTCAAGTAATACTTTATTTTCTTTTCAAAGTTTTAATATCTAATTCTGATACAGTAAGACCCCGTATAGAGAAGTCTCTAGCAGTATTAGTTCCTTGTGTAGTTTAGAACCTCAAGTTCTAGCATTCTGAATTTTGTAGGGGAATGATATGCTTACATATGGTTCCATATTACATAGGCTAATCTCTCCACTTTGTGGAGGGCTGCAAGAAGAGGCAGGAAGTACATAAGAGAGAAGAGCAAATGAGGGGATTATCCCTTTTGCCCATTTCATGTTGCTTAAATCATGTAGGCGATGAACTTTTGAATTCATCTTGTAAACCAGTGGTTCTCAACCTGGGGTCCCCAGATGTTTTTGGCCTACAACTCCCAGAAATCCCAACCAGTTTACCAGCTGTTAGGATTTCTGGGAGTTGTAGGCCAAAAACATCTGGGGACCCCAGGTTGAGAACCACTGTTGTAAACAAAAGAAAATGGCAATAAGATTCTCCAAGATTCTCCAAGATGGGCTGAGAGAGAGTATGGTTTCAACTGAAAGTAAAATGCTAATAAAGTACAACTCTACTTGTATCTAGAATGAAGAAATCTGTTACTTTGATAGGTGATAACTCCAAAATGACAGAATGCTTTTGGTAAATGTATTTTAATACCAGTAAATGTTAAATGTCTTAAGACCTAAAGTGAAGTTAGTTTCAGGAAGTTTAGAAGAATACCTAGAAATTTCTTTCCAGTTCAATCTGAATGTACACAGTATTCTATCTTAAGTTAGAATATTTAAAGAAACTGAATAGAATTGTATGTATGTTGAAGTAGATTAGTCTTATTCTTAGCATCTGTTTTGTTTTCAGATGTTGGATGAAAACAACCATCTTATTCAATGTATAATGGACTACCAGAACAAAGGCAAAGCCACTGAATGCTCTCAGTAAGTTGACAATCTGTATGTAGTGCATGGGAACTGTGGTTTGCAAGTGGAGCAGGTCTATCAGTAGCATGAAATAAGTTGTGCAAGCTAGCCTGTGGATTCTTTATGGAGAAACCAACCTAACATCAGGTTACACAGCATTCCTGTCAGTTATTCCGTTGGCACAAGTAACATCTCCTCCTGGGCAACTGACTTGCCCTTATATCTGTTTTGCGAAATACAGGTAAGCATAAGCCAGCATGCTGGCGAAGTACCAAATTGGCAAGTTAAAAGAAAAGCAAGTTCCTCCCTCTTGCAGCATTGCTACATCTCTATAAACTCTGCAAAAACAATCTGCTCATAGGGAAATTGTTATTACTTTTATTGTTATTAGTCGAGGGGTGGTGGCCTCTCGACTCTGGAGCTCACTCCCTAAAGACATCAGACAGGCTCCAGCTCTGGCAGTCTTCAGGAGGAGCTTGAAGACATGGCTGTTCCAGCGTGCCTTCCTGGAATAATGATCCCATAGTACTTTGTCCTCCAAAGCACTTTACATTTCTTTAAGTCTGCTCGTATGCCCTTCCACAAACACCAGTATCACATTTCGTCCATGTCCCAGCATTATTTCCAATTTTAACTCTACATTTGGCCTTCCTACTGTTTTTAATTATGTGTTGTCTTATTGATAATGTTATGTATTTTATTGTCTATGTTTTTTAATTGCTTGTATTGTTGTTATTATTGCTTGTATTGTTGTGTTTGGGTTCGGCCTCATGTAAGCCGCACCGAGTCCCTTGGGGAGATGGTAGCGGGGTACAAATAAAGGGTTATTATTATTATTTCTAAAGAAATGTAAAAAGGTGAGTGTTAGATAAACACATCCTATTCGGGGTTTTAAATGTGAAAACCAACACCCTGAAGCAGTTCCTAAAATAAATGGTTGCCAATGCATAAACAAATATTGTGTTCCCTTGTTATCAGTGGTCTGTTGGATTCTGCGTCAGCTGCTGCTTCCAAACTGGGCAACCTGATGCACAGTTTATATAATGGGTTATTATTACATAATTAATTTATATTACTGGACAGTGGCGAATGGATTTTTTTTGCAGACACTATGGTTAATTGTTTAACAAGCAAAACCAAACTCATTCATACAAGATTATATCCCTGTACCGTGTACATCAAGTTCTTTGGTATCATTCATTGACATTTCTGTAAAATTTGAGTGAAGCAAACTTGTATTAGAATAAGTTTAGAAAGCATAGACCACATCAGGTTTACTTGAAGAAGGATGGCATGCAAACCTTACTTTTAGATGTCCCTACATTTCTCATCCCTTATAAATCCATACATCTCATAAATACATACATCTCATAGTATCCCTTATAAATATCTAAGGAAAAACCCAGAATGAGAGAAATTAATTCAACCTGCAAATGTCTATAAATATCCAAAGGAAGTGACAAATCACACCTTGCCATCCTGGTTTTGGCTGACATATAACAAAGAACTGCTAACCAATTATTTTAATATACTTTATTGTAAAACAGTCAGGTCACAATACTACATCCAGCCCATGGTGCTGGAATTTTTGACTCTGAGACTGGGAGCATGGAACTCTTCATCATATCTAGGCACAATTCAAATAATTGCTTATGACCTAAAAAGCCTTATATGGTTCTGGTCTAAGCTCCCTGAAGGACCATATCTTTGAATATGTGTTGAGCTAGGCTTTTAAGATCATTGGGAGAGGATCTTCTTTCAGATCTATCTTCTTTGGTGCGAACTGAAGAGAGACCCTTCTCAGTGGCTGCTCCTAGACTTCGAAATTCCCTCACGAGGGAAATTGGAATGACTTGCTCCTTGCTGTCTATCAACAAGTGAAAACCTTTCTGTTCAACTTTTTTTTTTCAAAATTGTTTTGTTGATCTTGATGTTTTTGTATTTTTTTATTTCTATGTACAATTAAATGGCATATATGCATTTTTAAAGTGCTTTAATTTTGTGTTCCAGTACAGGAAAAAGTTGGGATATAAATGAATTAATAACAACAGCAACAAAACTATTAACATATGCAACAAATTTGAATTTAGAATATATTCTTTTTTTCCTCTTTTTTTTTTAAAATAGATATCAGCAGTTGTTGCATACAAACTTGGTCTACTTAGCTACGATAGCAGACTCCAATCAAAATATGCAATCTATACTGCCACCAGTAAGTATTCTGTGACAATTATGTGGTATTCTCTTTCTTACATTAAGATGTAGTTAATGAAAGTGCTGTGTTTACTACACGACATGCTATTTATGCTTCCGACTGATTTTGTCTCATATTGCACATCCTTAGCCTCATATTTCCCTATACAAGGTATATTTAAAAAAATCATTGCTAGATTGACCTCATTAGAAATACCCTAGTAATTTTGAGATTTTTAGAGATTAGATCATCTATGTAATTCTAGCATACCTTTTTATGCATTATCTCTTCTTTTAGAAAAGAAAATACATTTATCAGTCACTCCTTAAAATATCTGTTTCTAGGTTGATTTCCAAAACTGCTTAATTAGAATGTAAATGTTATGCAGTTACTGGAATTATTTAATTATCACTTTCATTCCTGCCAAGGAAAATAAACATTATGCTGGTGAAAACTATTGCATCATATGCTAAGATACCTTTCTGCTTAAAAAAAAATTCTTCTGTTCACTGAACAACTAGTTTTAATGTTATGTTAGAATATGTGTCAACTTATGGATCTTGTGTTGAAATAAATTGCCAAAAAGGTAAAAAACAAACAAACAAGAAAACCACACTCTTAATGGCAGGAAATCTTCTAGTTTTGAAAACAAGGGCAGAGACATGTTAGATGGTATAATGGTACTATTTAAAAAGCAAATTCTAAAACTGAGTTAGAAAATATGTGGTCTGCATAATCTGAAAAAATAAAGGTCTTTCCAAAGAGCTGTGATGTGGCCTTATGCAAACATTGTGGATGTAACAATTTAAAATACCACCTAATTTATTTCCCCAAATGTCCAGTTTTGATTAATGGCTGGGAGTGTGTTGTGCTGTTTTTCAAACTGTATCGCCAACTGCACCTGTTCCATGAGACATCAATCTGACTATGATGACCCATGCCATGATAACATCCCATTTGGACAACTGTAACAATCTCTACATCAGTGGTTATCAACCTGAGGGTCCCGAGTTGTTTTGGCCTACAACTCCCAGAAATCCCAGCCAGTTTACCAGCTGTTAGGGAGTTGAAGGTCAAAACTTTGGGGACTCACAGGTTGAGAACCACTGCTCTACATTGAGCTGCCTTTAAAATCTGCTAGGAAACCTTAGTGGGTCAGATATATTGTGGTCAGAATACTGACTGGAATAAGTTTCAGAAAGCATGTAACTTGCTTGTTCAAACTGTTTTTATTGGCTATCAATTCCTTTCTAAGCACAGTTCAAAGTACTAACCAGTGTGACTTTGGCCCAAACTATTTAATAGACTGTATCTTTCTATATGAACTGGCCATAATCTTAAGATCTATAGGGGAGGGCTTTCACTCAGTTCCATTATCATCACAGACTAACTTGGTGGAGACATGCGACAGAGCCCTCTTAGTGGCTGTTCCAACCTTCTGGAATTTCCTTCCATGCCAGACTAGGTTGGCTCCTTTTCTCTTTTTTGGGTAGGCAAAGACCTTTTTTGTTTAAGCGGGCTTTTAATACATAATCACTTGTTTTTATTATATGTAATGGCACATGTGTTCGGTTTTTTAAAAATGTATGCTTTTAAAATAATGCTATACTGTTTTAATGTGGTGATTTTAATTGTTCTTCATGTATTATCAAATTTTCATTGATTGTTTTTGTGAGCTACTTTGAGCCACTCCAGAAGAAGGCAGCATATAAATAAAATAAATACATAAATCAATTCAGATGTTTATCATTTCACCCAGACTGGAAGAATTCCTAAATTTGATGAGAAGGAAACCATAGGATACTTTGTACTGAAGTTTTTGTCTCCCTATGATCTTCATCAGCATCATATGTTTAAATTGAGCAAAGGAAGGAAGTGCATGAATCCTGAAATATCATAGATAAATGACCTAATGCTGTTAAGTGATTATATGGCATCATTCTATGTGACTTCCCTAACCACAGCTGTGGGCAACAATTCTCCTCTGAGATGAGGACTGATTATCATCTACAAGACACCCTAATGTCTAAATTGAGTATATCATTCAAAGAGCTTCCCAAATATGGTAGCCTCTATGTCAGTGGTTCTCAACCTGTTTTGGCCTTCAACTCCCAGAAATCCTAATAGCTGGTAAACTGGCTGGGATTTCTGGGAGTTGTAGGCCAAAACACCTAGGCACTCACAGGTTGAAAACCAGTGCTCTACATGTTTTGGACTACAACTAAATCACTAATCATAGTCCAGGATGACTGCAGCTAATGAATGTTACCCAGTTCAAATAATTTAAACCCCAAGGTTACAGAAGGCTTGTTTAAAAGGCCCAGCAGAGAATAACTTCAGCAATAAGTTAGAGAGCCAGTGTGGTGTGGTGTTCTGAGCATTGAATTATGACTCTGGAGACCAGGGTCCAAACCCCAACTCAACCATGGAAGCTCACTGAATGAGATTGGGTAAGTCACACTCAACCTCAAAGGTAGGCACAAGACAAAACTGCTCTGAACAAATGTTGCCAAGAAAACCTCATGATAGGTTCACCACCTTAAAGTCACTATAAATCAGAAATTATTTGAAAATATGTAACAACAATCACTAGGTAGATGTTCTTTTTTCAAAGCCAAATAATGTACAATGGATAAATTCTTGAGTTACTATTAACAAGCAAGAACAGTGCAAGACCTGTGGACATTTTTTATGTTTACATTATTTTATTCATGTCTTTTGCAAGTACAGTTTGAACCATTATTTGGTTCAACCTATCTCCTCATGAACAGACTGATTTAATACTTTGTGTAAGTGGTTTTATAACAAAAACCCTACAGGGATAAGAATAATCCTATGGGGATTCTAAATTGAAAAAAAGTTTATATTGTACAAAGCCTTGGTTGACTTGCACTGAGAAGTGGTTCAGATCTGTAAAAGGGATTCCCTTCAACTTTGCAGGCGTATAATCTAATTCCTGTTTGAATAAATGAGAGAGGAAATAATTTACATCATTCAGGTTTTTCATAACTGTCTTACTTGTGATGGGCCTGCCAGAGGGTCAGGAAGAGTTTCAAAATTTCCTTAATCTGCCTACAAAAGGCTTTCTAATCTGTGTAGGTTTGGTTTTTTTTTTTTGCAAGAAATGGCAATAAGGTGAGACCTTATTTTTACAGGAGCTGGATGGGAGCATACAAAGGCAAATCTCTCTCTACAAGGGCAAGCTTTTCTATGCATAGAGAGGAAATGTAATCTACTGTATAGCTCCAAGGATGATTTTCCAGATGCTTTTAAGATTACAACCTACAGATAACATATTTGATAGCTCTTGAAATCACAGTGCAGTTAGGGTTAGCTTTCTGCAGATTTGCTTCAATTTTGTTAATATAAAAGAACTTTTGGTTTCAAAACTCTTTCTTCTTACCATAAAACCAGATAAAAACATTTGTAACAAGGTTTTTTTTTAAAAAGGGCCATAAACCAGATTTCTCTATTTTTAAGTTTTTATTTACATTAAATTGAAATTAACTTCTAAAAGCCTGAACTTTTATCAATTGATTTCTGCTTTTCCCAGCAATGAAATGATACTTATTTATTTAGATCCATATTGGTTTTAGCTACTCAAAAGTGAATATCCTATGTGTTTGCCTTTCCTGTCATCTTCTGATAATATAATTAGCCATTGTTTAGTTTTTATGATAATAATAAATAATAAACTTTATTTATACCCTGCCACCATCTCCTCAAAGGAACTGAGGCGGCTCACAAAAGCACTTCAAAGTGCTGCACAAAACAAACAATACATAATCATATGAAACAGCAACATAAGTCTAAAAACAACAAACACATATAAAACCCCATCTAATTGTAAAATTCATAAAATGAAGTAAAACCTATTAATAAAGCTGGCTATCTACAATTAACAAATCAAAGTGTCAAAATGAAGCAATCGCTGAGTCCTCAATCTAAGGTCAAAGACCTGTCTAAAAACTCATGTTTTTAAACTACTTCGAAAGGCTTGGAGAGTTCGAAAGGCTTGATCTAATCTTCCTAGAAAAGGTATTCTAGAGTCAGGGGGGCACCACCAAGAAGGCCCTCTCTCTCGCCTCCACAAATCATGTCTTGAGATGGTGGTGGGGCCAGGAGAAAGGCCTCCCTGGCAGATCTCAAACCCCATGCCGGTTCATAGAATGATATGTGGTCTCGAAGATAGGTTGGACCCAAAGCATATAGGGCTTTATAGGTGATAACCTGAACTTTGAACAGTGTCTGAAAAGCAGCCAGTAGAGTGCATTACAGTAGTCCATTCTGGATGTAACCAAGGCATGAACCACTGTGATCAAGTCAGCCTTTTTTGAGGTATGGTTGCAGCTGACGCACCAGTTTTAACTATGTGAAGACCCTCCAAGCCACTACCGACACCTAAGCTTCAAGCATCAGCAATGAATCCAGAACTCCCAGACTGTAGACCGATGTTGTAGTTCACCTACATCCAGAGTGCACTATGAACCCAAACAATGGATCTGGACCAAACTTGGCATGCATGTCCGATATGACCAGATTTGAATACTAGTGGGTTTTGAGGGGAATTGGCCTGGACATTTTGGAGTTGTAGGTACTGGGACCAATAGTACACCTGCAATCTAAGAGCACTCTGAACTCCACCAAAGATAGAATTTGACCAAACTTGACATACAGAGACCCCATGACTAGCCAAAAAATACTGGAGGTCGTTGGGGAAAATTCACCTTGATTTGGGGGAGTTATACATCCCAAAAACACTGTGAACCCAAACATCGATGAATCTGGAACAAACTTGGCACACATGCCCAAAATGCTGTAATTTGAAAAAAAAAAACTGGGCAGGGCGCCTCCATGGCCCCCATAGCGTCGCGGCAAGAGTGCTTCAACAGCCTGACTGTCAAGCCATAGCAACACCTGATGAATGACTCCTTATGTCTTTATTGTATAAGATCAAGACCAGATTGAAGTCCAAAGAAAATAGCGCACAAATAAGAAACAATTATAGCTTGTAAGCAGCTCTGAGTCCCCTTCAGGGTGAGAAGGGCGGCATATAAATGTAGTAAATAAATAAATACTCCACCATCTCGAACCAGGAACCGCACATACATAGTTATGGGTAAACCAAGGTCACAGCTTGTTTATTGGTCACAGTATGAGGTCCTGGATTACCATATTGGACAGCCCACATGCTTATCCTTTGCCACAATGAGAAAGGGCTTCGGGAAGACAGGAAGGGCCCAGGAAAAGGCAGCACACATAACTAGTGAGAGGAGGCATAGTGCAGCTTCCCATTTTACCTGCACCAGCCCGCCTGTGGTAGACACTCTGGAGCTTCCTAACAAAGGGAGAACAAGCCAGCACTGGATCCAAGACCCATGCCAACTGCCCCCAACTTGTGACAAAGATAATACCATAGCCCGCTTACTAATGAACTGAGGGTTGGTAGCTGAGTGGGAGGGGAGAGCTCAAAGGCAACTGGCCAGGAGGAGCAGCGCACCGGCTTAAATAGCCAGCAAGCAGACAATAGGTACGCCTGGTGGACCAGAGTGAACTACGTGGCTCACTCTGATTGGTTGCTGCTCCCATGTGTACCAAAGCACATGCAATCAGAGCCCACCAGGAGGAGGAAGCGACCTCCTTCACCATGGCAGTCAAGGAGAGCACCTGGTGCTGCAACCTCCCAACCCAGTAAGTCAGGCAGGGGCACGTTGTCACTCCCCTCTCCACAATTTCCCTTGCCATATCGATATTTTGGAGGGCATCTCAGTCTTCAAAACAAATTTTATGAGCAGGACTATTAAGTATGTGAGAACTGGTTAAAATCACCAAGCATGAACTTCCGGTGGCTGGGATCTTTGAATATAACCTAATGGTCCCTGAAGAAATATGTTTTCAGTGGCTTAAAATAATTCATGATTGAAAATGAAAATTAAAACAGAATCATTAATTTATTTTAAAACAGGTAAAGAAAGAGGCTTAAGGAGTTAATAATAAGTGAATTCTGGGCCCGTTCTGAATTTAACAATAATGCTGTAAGATAGTACTAAGAAAGGCTTGAGTATCTGAAAAAACAAAAACTATGGTAGTTGTACCACTCATGTTGGAATCACGGACACCTTAAAGGGCCAGACACAAAAATGGCTTCAAAACAGAGCTTATTAAAACAAAAGAAAAAGGATGCTGAGGTACTTAAATGCAGTGCCACTGGTCAAAACTCAAGAAACAAGCCTGACCTGGTCAAAAAGGTTAACAGAAATATAATCCAGATTAACTGGATGAAAAAGAAATGAATAAAACAAAGCACTCTGAGGCAAAATAAAATGGCACGGTACACAAATGGTTAACAAAAGGAGGGGCCGCAGAAAGAGAAGTGTCGTCAGCCAAAGTCCAGGGTTGAAGCGGGAGAATTCCGAAACAGTGCTGCTCCAGTGTCCGCAGAAGCAGCGTCTTTAGCCAAACCGGTCCAGGTCCAGGAAGGGAGAAGTCCACATTCACGAGAAGCCAATCGGGGTCAATAGCATGCAAACGATCAGGAGATCCAAAACTGCAGATCCTAAACCAACGCCGAACACGAAACAGGCAGCAACAAGTCTACAAGAATCTTTTCCAATACACAGCACCCAACACACAAACGCTCATCAGCACCTTGCCTTCTGCAAGGACCCATCACCCCTGAACTCGCTTTTATTTACAAATCATCATCAGAAGATGAACTGAACACCACCCCATCATTATCCCCCGCAGCTGCTCCCAGCTCTTCACGTGAATTCCCTTGTCCTTCCCTCCAATTCCTCCATCTCCTGTCAAGACTTGGGTCACTCAGTTGGATCCCCTGATTGCCAGTATTCACCCCAAGAGAACCCCATAAAGGCATCACTAGTTGTTGGCTCCTCACAAATAGCTTGCATTTCTCTTATCTTAGTCCAGTCCATGGTGTCTCCTTCTCCTTCACTCATTGACCCATCATCCCCAAAGAATCCCTCAAACGACTCCTCATCTGTAGGTGCTGTAAATATGACCCGAATCCTCTTTCTCTGCTGCTCATCAGATTCCTGCTTCCGAGTAACCCTTTTTCCCCTTCTGGCACCCATACTACTGTTTGTAACATTACTCACAGGCTCTACTACAACAACACATGCAAGCAGTGTATTCATTAAACTAATGGCTTCTGTGTCATTAAATTGTCTTCCAGCCGCCTACGCAGAATATGCCCATGGGTCCAGGAGGAATGAGTCAGAGTGGCCCTCCCCCACCCCCTCGGTCTCATAATATGGGTTCAGATGGTATGGTTGGTGGGGGCCCTCCCGCACCACACTTGCAGAACCAGATGAATGGCCAGATGCCTGGTAAGTTTTTCTCCTTGAAGACAGTAACACTACGGTTTTTCAGCAACTGAAATAGCATGTGCACACAGGGAATAGAAGATTGTTGACGACAAAACTGCTTTGAATGCCCCAGAGTAAAAGCTCTCTTAGAGTTTGTTAGCTACAGAGCTACATGACCTGTATTCTGTGTTTATCAGGCTGCCCTTGGGCTTTGATGTAGCTGACATGCAGCATTCCTCTGAACAGAACTGTCTAAATTTAGTCTGTCTGAAGGCATGCTCAGTACAGCTGTGTTTAGAAAGAAAGGTATTGGCCTGTGGCTGAACAAATTCTCTTTGCAAGAAATTATCTATAACTATCTCAACTAAGTTAGATGATGAGTTAGAGATTAATCTTATTGAAAAACCACTTAGACAGCAAATCAAATCTTAGCTAATCTTCTTTTGGGCATAGCAGACAAAAACAGACAATTTGTATTTAACAATTGATGTGGGAAAATGCCCCCAAACCTTTGTTTCAAGTCTAATCCTAAAGACAGGGTTTTATTAGAGAACAGAAGGATGAAAAATGTCAGTATTTGCAAGGAGAAACACAAAACAGCTTTACCCCTTGTTGCTAATACTAGTTGTGGAGGGGATGGTTTCCTTGTGAAGTCATTTCAAACTTTCTTTTTAGCAAGGCTGTTTTGTAATATATTTGTCATACAAGCCTTAGTGCTGATTTGTATTGGCTGATTCTGTTTTAAAGCAACTCTAATTTTTTTTCTTTTGCTGCCTTCTCTATATTCATGGTTCACTATTTAAATAAGTGAACCCAGCTTGATATAGCTAAGAGAAAAATATACCAACAACATTTCTAAAAGCTTGCAAGACTTTACCCAACAAGTCATCAGCAAATAATTTAAGCTGCAGTCTGCAGCACACTTTGGGGTACAACTTGATAAGGTTTCATTCTGAGTACAAAGGCTTAGAAGTTATTTTAAATATATCCAAGTTGTGTTAGACCCGTCGCAAACTAGGCTCCTGCTGGAGCAAACCTTGCCAGCACGTCCCTGACGTCATGAGACTCTGCCTCTTGCCCCGCCCCTTTCTCAGCCTCTTTCTCCGTGCTAGAGTGGTTTTTCCTTTGCTAGGGCAGCATTGCCAGCGTATTCTCTCAGTTGAATTCTGCCAACTGAGAGAGTACGCTGGCAATGCTGCCCTAGCAAAGGAAAAACCACTCTGGCACGGAGAAAGAGGCGGAGAAAGGGGCGGGGCGAGAGGCGCAGCCTCATGACGTCAGGGACGTGCTGGCAAGGTTTGCTCCCGCAGGAGCTTAGTTTGCGGCGGCTCTTAAGATAAAGGGTGAGCAACTCTCTCCAGGTGTTGGATGTGCCAGCTAGGACTGATGGGAACTGCATTGATAAAATATCCGGACATCAACAAGTGGCTCAGTTCCGATCCAGAATGATGAGACACAAAGGAAGATGGGGTTTTGTAGACCTCATATTTGTTTAAATGAGAACAGGTGACATGCAGGTTTATGGTTTTAAATGTTATCAGTAGCTCATTGTATTCGGATTGGGAATATCTTTGCTGCCAAGCATAATTCCTTTCATATCACGGTGGATCTAGCTGTTAGATTTTGTACTAACTGCAGCTTCCAAATCTTTTTCGAGAGACGCCCCAAGTGGGGAGCATTGCAGTAGTTCAGGAAGTTATCAGCACATGTGTTGCTATGATTAGGAGAACCGTGCCTGGAAAAAGGTATAACTGGTGGAGCAGTCAAAGCTGGTGACAAGAACTCCAACCCATGATATTTACCTGAATGTCCAAAGAAAAAAGTTGAAGGTGGCTCTTTTAATTTCTATGCCTTAAGCAGTTTAGGATTTTGAAGATAATGAGCAGCACTTTGAATTGGACTTTGAAATGGTCCAGGAGTCAATAATGTCTCCATAATAATGTATGCATGTATACCTCAAGCAATGGATTAATAATGAAAAAAGAAAACTGTTTCAACTTCAAATTGGTGTCATGCACTAGAGGAGAGCAGTAAATTTGATATATAGTTTCGGAGAGCCTGGAAACTATGCCAAATTTATGGCTCTCATTCATTTCCTAGTTAGGTTTTAGATGAGATGAAAAAAACGTTGGAAATAAGTGAAGGAAGTGTGGTGTTAAGCCTGTGGCAGTATACCAATCATGAAGAATCCAGTAGGCCTAGCCAGCCTCTGAAATGAAATACAGAAAAACATGGAGTTTGAAGACCCCATTTCCATGTAGGTATTTTCTGTTCAGAATAAAATAAATGCTCAAATGAATAGAAATATTACAATAGTTTGCTCTAATCCTCCTTTAGCATGACTAATGAAAAGTGACTTGACTATTGCTACACAAAACCTGTGCAATCTAGAATAGATGAGGGAATTCTATGCAAGGCCCAGCATTTAAATATCATTTAGGTTAGGGCTGTTGGTAGTTTCAGTTAAAAACATCTGAATGCCTTCACAGTTTTAATTTTTGCCATGAGGCTGCAAGTTGCAGGGAGGAAGATGGGTCATGCCTGGCAAGCTTTCCTTACAGAAGAATCTCTTCTCTTAATGTATTTTCTTATCAAAGAACCTTTTTTAAAGGACACAGATTTACCCTCTCAAGTGTGAATTTAAATTGTTTAATCTTGTATAAATTTGTCTCTTCTATTTTGGTCATCAACAGGTATGTGATCTGCATGTACAAACCTACAGGTAGATTTAGAAATGCTAACTATGATCTAAATCTAGTTTGCTCAATTGAATGAATGTGTCTTCTCCAGTTGGGACTAACTGTTGGATTTAGGCCAGTATAAAATCTTTTTTTTTCAATGGGAGTAAGATTAAATATTTATTTTAAAACATTTGTATCCCAATCTTCTCTACCTCCGTAGAGGGACTCAGAGGTAATTGTCAATTGTGGTGCACTAGATTTTTAAATGAGACATTTTGTTGATCTCACCAATTATGGAGTGATCAAAGAGATAATGTGTATTTTCAAGTCTCTTCAAAATTTTGTTTTTTTCAAAGGACCTAACCACATGCCTATGCAGGGACCTGGACCTGGACCGAACCAACTTAACATGTCAAACACTTCTATGAACATGCCTTCAAGTAGTCATGGGTCCATGGGAGGTTATAATCATTCAGTGCCATCTTCTCAGACCATGCCAGGACAGAATCAAATGACAATGAGCCAAGGACAGCCTATGGCCAACTATGGTCCCAGACCAAATATAAGTATGCCACCAAATCAAGGTAAATGAAGACATATCTTGTCTGTCTTTCATTAAATAAAATTAATTACATCAATGTTGGAACAGCTTTTCTGCCTATTCTCTGAATATTCTTGCAGTCTATAAAGCAGAAAATATTAGTTTCTGTAGCATGTCCTTTTAGAATCTTATTCAAGGGTTTCTAGGGTGGGATTAAGCACATCAGATACTATTCATAGGGACTTGGTGGTATCTGGAATTGAGCTGTGGCCTGTAAAATGTGAATGGATTTTCATTCTTTGCTTCCTGATTATGTCTGAACAAAGAAATCTTAAGCTTCAGTGTTCACTGCATTAGCTTCAACTAGGAATGTAGCTATGGAATGCACAAAATGAAGACATTGTTCATTCCTCCCAAGTAAAAAGTACTGTCTCCCCCATAATAATTTCCATCAGCCTCACATTTCTAGCATCATTGGAAATCTATGAGCATTTTACAAGAGTTCAGGCACCCAAAAAAGCGGGCAGGCAAAGTTATCAAAGAAATATGAACACAGCATACGTAAATGTTCTACGCGTGAATAATTTGAACAGTGCCCTTATTTTGCCACCCTGTACCTACACTCCAAGGCCCACTCAGCTCAGGAAGATTCTACTGGAATATCTTCAGAATTTACCAGACCTTATTCTTGCCTTTAAATGATGTTTGCATAAATTAGCTGCTGTGAACTACATTACTTGAAAAATGCAGAATGTATGATGTTTTGCATGTTACACTTATGTGTGTGTGTGTGTGTGTATGTGTGTGTGTGTGTATATATATATATAGTATAGATTTCATATATTGGATTTTTGTTTATTTTTTTTTAAAAAAAACTTCACTTTGAATTACATCAAGACAGAAGGTTTAAATGTTGCTACCAATTTTCCCTTTGTAGGCCCAATGATGCACCAGCAGGCTCCATCTCAACAGTACAACATGCCCCAGGGAGGTGGTCAGCATTATCAGGGGCAGCAACCACCAATGGGAATGATGGGCCAAGTTAACCAAGGAAACCATATGATGGGACAGAGGCAGATTCCTCCATATAGGCCGCCACAGCAGGGTGAGATTGGAAGTTGCGTGTTTTAATATTTGACTGAATGCACACGAGATGCTTTCAGTTGGAGTATCTTGTTTATATCTTAACTAGTGGGATGTGCTGTAGTGTGTAGCACTTTGTCCAATGCCAATATACTGTGACCAGTATACTGAGTATGCGCAGTCCTTACTCTGCATTTTTTGTGGGGGAGGGGAAGCCCTTTAGGGTTTTTTTGCCAACAGTTTTTATCCTATAAATACTGGAAATTGCCCGAGACACTCTTGAGCATGGATGGTGTTGTTTTGGCTACATCAAGCCTAGCACTGGAAGAAAGTCAGATCATAATTACTATATGAGTTTACCTGAATTCCTGCATTCTTTCTACATTTCTTTTTATCGACTTTTCAAACACATACTAGTAATAGTAGATAGTAATGTCCAAAGACCGTTTTTTCTTGCCTACCTACCTGCTCTGTTGGCCATTTTAGACAAAAAAGAGCCAGCTTTTTTAAGGCTCTTCTTCCTTAGCACTTGGGAACAAATCTTGCTTCCCTCTTTGTACACTGACAAATGGCTATTTACAGTACTATAGAATTACATTTTCCTCAAAATAGTATTTGAACCTAAAAGGTCATTTGTCTGGATGTTAAATGTTAACATAATTTTCTACCTCGTTTTAAAAGACCTCAAAGTACATATATATTGTTTCTATGCTTTTAGAAATATATATTTACATTGATAAATATTTATACGCATAGATATTTATCAAAGTTCAGTTGCATTGCGTGATTATATACATGTGCAGTTACCAAGCATTAAGTATGCTTTCAAAACACAGTGACATGGGTGGGGGACGTCTATAGATGAGGGCTGTTTCTCATATTAAATTTAGACATAAGTGAGCTTGCTAACAGAAAAAATAAGTTATTTACGTATTGACTGGTTGTGGTTTTTCAGGCCCACCACAGCAGTACTCAGGCCAGGAAGACTATTATGGGGACCAATACAGTCATGGTGGACAAGGTCCTCCAGAAGGCATGAACCAGCAATATTACCCTGATGGTAATCTCTCATAATGTTAACTTTCCCATTTTACATACCTGCCCGTAAACAGAACTATTGGCTGAACAGGTTTAAGTAACTAATCATTGAACACTTCTTATATTTGCTGAAGCTTACAAGTTCAGTAATTTGAAGTCTGCTCAGTAATTATATTTTATAACTAAAAGTATAACATTTGTAATCAATTATATTGACATGGTACATATGTTCATACTTTTGAATTAGAATCCCCTCATTTGTGTACAAGTATGGCATTTTTTCCACGTTGTATTGATTGGCTGATGAAGAATGTCTTCTCACAGACATACGTAAAGTTTAGAGACAATCTAATTTTACTTTTTCAAAAACTACATTTTGAATCAGAATTCACTGTTTGCATTGATGCTCAGACCATTTAACCAAACAACAGATATGCTTCCAAGAATAGTTGGTATTTTCTCCCTATATTTCTCTTTCTTTCTTTCTTTCTTTCTGTATGTATGTATGTATGTATTGTGTGTTTATAAAAGTGTGGTAAGCTATACTGCAATAACATTGCATAACTACAGAGAATGTCATTTCCTTTGTGCATAGATCTGATTCTGGACAGAATATAATTTTTGATATGAATTTCATTTCAAGGGATTATGAAGTCATTTTCTAAATTAAACATCCATATAATAGTACATGCACAGAGGTGTAAATTAAATTGCTAAATTTAATTTTTAGCAATGGTATGAAGGAGAGACAAAAAAGGTAATGATGAATTCATGGTTGCTACAAGAGCAAGTATGATGCTTCTTTGTGTTACTGTGTAAATTTCAGGGTTCATGGTAGATTAATCATCTTGCAGTGTAATAGTTGTTTCGAAGTGACTGTTATTGCAAATCAATTGTATGTGTTTTTTCTAAATGTATTCAAGTTGGTTTTGCTAAGTTTTAAAACAGCTCATTTGTCATTAGTCACCATCATGTTCATGGTTTACTTAATTTGCATGTCACAACATAGCCTTGAATAACACTTGTGCCGGATCAGCCTGGAGTCAATTTTGTGACATGTAAGAAAATGGTAAGACAGAATTCCACAAAATCCTATCTTTAAAATGTGGCTAATCATTCTCAGAAGTGATCTCCCACTTGGCTGCTTTATGTTTGCATACGCTAAGACCAGCGTATTCTCTCAGTTGAATTCTGCCAACTGAGAGAGTACGCTGGCAATGCTGCCCTAGCAAAGGAAAAACCACTCTGGCACGGAGAAAGAGGCAGAGAAAGGGGCGGAGAGAGAGGCGCAGTCTCATGACGTCAAGGACGTGCTCGCACAGTTTGCTCCCGCAGGAGGCTAGTTTGCGACGGCTCTAACAGTAAAATCAGTATTTGATTCACATCAAACTGTGACTTTGATAATTTGTTTTCTGAAGTTGATCTGCAATTAGACCCATTGAAGGAGTCACTGTTCTGTTATTTTTGAGTGCTGCTCACCAACAGTTGATATGTAAAACATGATCTACAAACCAAGAAGTAATTATAAAATGACTTGCTTTAATCACCAGAAAAATAACAGGATATAGAAATTATACACTGTTAACAAAATTAATTATGCGTAAGTTTGAATAAATGTGGGATGCCCATGGTCAGGAAAACAAGCAATTTAAAACAGATAATGACCATAGAACATACAGATGTTTCTATAATATCTAGTGCTCATTAAAATAAAAGATTTATTATATTACTTATGTCCAGGAATGCACAATGAACTAAATTTATATCTTCAAGTAGGACTATGCGAGGTCCTAGAGCAAAGCAGAAAGTAATTTAATTAAAAATAAATTCTGTTGGATCTTGGGTAGGTGTCCATAACATTTCCTGGATGTAATCACATAATAAAGGAGACTTTGCGAGTTAATTTTCCCAATCTAGGAATTGTATTAATTTTTTGATAGGTGCTTCATACAAATACTGTATAAGATTTATTTTAGAAGTTCATTGAGCTTGATTAGTTGTAGTTCACACTGCTTTTAACAGCATATGCTTTTGAACTAGAAATCAGTAGAACAGATGTTCATCAAGGCATGATAATTGGTTTCTGTTCATTTGAAAGAAATTCAGGTTATTTACATGTGAAAGGACTAAATGGTTTCATTAAAAAGAAGACAAAATACTTTTCCCCCAACAAAGATTATTAAAAGCTAAGTCCATTCCTCTCTGATATTGCTAAAAGTACTTCAGCTAATTTCCCCCCACGTCACATGTTAATTAAATATGAAGAGAATTCCTATTGGTAAATCCTTCTAATTCAGTTTGAAGGTACTTTTTATGTATTCCAGCTGACACTGAGTTTTCAGTAAGATGAAATATTTTTAGGGTTTTCACACAGAGGCCATTAACTTTTCTTCCTGTCTCTTGTCGAATTGATGTAGGTCATAGTGATTACGGTTATCAGCAACCGTCGTATCCTGAACAAGGCTACGATAGGCCTTATGAGGATTCCTCCCAACATTACTACGAAGGAGGTATCTATATACCTTCATACACACATGCGCACATACATTACTCTCCTCTCCCCTTCCACAAAGGAACAAATATTCTTGCACAACATGACTTGTTTCCTGCCCATGCAAAGCTCTTGTAGACTTATTAGTTGCTGGCTGTTGAAAATTGCAGGGAACTTGAAGCATTCTGATTAGTTTCTTGCAAATGTCTAAACTTATAACCTTAAATTTGTCACTTCTAACAGCAATAAAATGACTAAAACACTGTCAGCATTTTTTCAGTTGTCTTTTATTTAAACATAAACCCATTGATCCAGTTATATATTTTGTGTGCACATAAACATATAAATATAGTGCCATTAGGAAACAGCTTGCTGATTTGTGTAGCTAGTCTGTGCTATGTAGCTGTCTTTAATTTTGTCCTTTTTTCCATTTAGCATAGTCATGGCCTTTTCAAGTCATGGCATCATGTTCCAGTAAACTTAATGCTCTTTTGGCAGAGATGCTGAAAATGCTGCAGTTTAGCCTTGCAAAATTTGGCTTTAACTGCAGTTTGTTTGGCTGAATTCCTTCTGTTTTGGTTTGTTTTTTCTCTGTTTTGTTCTGTTTTGGAGATCAAGACTGCATTTACATTGTTTTTGTTATGTTCATTGTTCATCTTAAAACAGAAAAGAGCCAAACTAGAGTGCCTTTAATTCCTTTTATTTTAACTTCATATTTCAGGAAATTCGCAATATGCCCAACAGCAAGAGGCGTACCAAGCACCACCTCAACAGCAGGGCTATCAACAGCAGCAGTATCCAGGTCAGCAAGGTTATCCTGGACAACAGCAGGGCTATGGTAAGGAAGAAATGCTACCTTCCTTTTTAAAATATCAAAGAAATACAAAAACCAGTAATTATTGCTTTTCTCACTCCAGTTGGTCTTAATACTTCTCTTCTGACATTGAAACGTTTGTATAAAAAATAGCACTTACAGTGCAACAGAACATTGCGTGTAAGAAGATGCCTAACTTTCAATCAAGAAACAGTGTATAGTATAAGGGTCATTCCATGTCAAGTGGTCTAAAATTTTAAAAACTTCCCAACATCATGTTCTCCAGTTTTGTTCAAATTTTAGCTGCAGTACCAGTTAGCTGTTAAACTAAGTTTCCCAGAATTTGAGGTCTCTAACTGCAATAGTTGCTGATTTAGACCCCCTTATCTGAAGGGTAGTCAGTCAGTGTGCACACAACATTTAACAAAATGCCATTTTTGGGGTCTAATAAAATTAAAACTAAATGTATAGGAATGGCTAGTAAATTGAAATCCTGTACAGTTTTTTTCTGCTAAGACCCTAAAAATTGCATTTTGTTAAATGTTCTGGAATGACCCATAATGAATAAATACAGATTTATTCTTAGGTTTTTAGATCACTTAAAATTTGAAATGCTTTTTTTTTTCTTTTGGATTCGAGTCTATATTATAATCACTTCCAATTTCTCAGAATTAAAAGCCATTTTCAAAACTGGATCCAGGACTCAAGGAGATAAGTTGCCATCCCCAAGGATATGTTCACCCCGATAGCAAATGAAATAGCAAGCAAGAGTTAGTTTTATAGCACAGGGATTGTAATGTTCTGGTCTACTAGATGATGTTGAACTGCTGGTCTCAAGAACTAATGATATAGAATGCTGGTTGGTGTAACCCAACAGCATTTGGAAGGCTGCACAATTTCTTCTTCTTTTGTAGCAGAATATGCTCATTGTCCAGAAAAAGACCCTCTCATGTAACATTGTTGTAGGAAATACTTTCAGCATTGGGATAAGTGAAATCATCCACCAATTTTAACATACATTGCAGGTCACAGTAATGATAAAAACCTGAGGTTTCACAAAAAGCCTGTTGTGAAAAACTAACATTAGAGAGTTTTTCAGGGTGTGTTCATTCAGATGTTTGGCTTCAGGAAAAAAATGTCCTCTGATTGGAGATTCCTCTAGAATGTTTTGGAATTTCAACTAATAACTAGGTAAAATGGAAAACGATGGGAAGGAATTTGTTGTCTAGTAAACAAACAGAAACCACTATTAGACATAAAATTTGTGGTTTATCATTTCACTTTAAAATTTGGTTTTGGGCTTGCATGACTTCTCCTTACCTCTCATTTATAATTGCATGAAGAAGATTGTAGAATATCCTGCGTGTATCATGTCTCAGTTTGGGGACAGTAGTTAGATACAGTGCTTAATTCAGGAAAACCACAGTGAAAGCATGATCCTAATTTGGTCAATATAAAAAGGTTAAATTAATCATTGACCCTCAAATTCAGACATAATAGAGAATGTTGGTTGGTTAGTTTAGAAGTGGAAATGGGTATCTAGGGAGAAAGGGAAGGAAAGAATAATGTCAAATTGAGCCACAGAAAGTTTTATACAGTGTAGTGCTTGTAGAAGGGTGTTCCTGTATGGGAAATTTCCTTTGCCCTCCTTGCCATAGCAGCTTAAAAACTTTGCCAAATGTTAAGCTTGCTGGAAAATACTTGGGATAAATTTTATGGATGTACAGTTTGATGGAATTAAAGGGAAAACCAGGCAAAGATAACTTGCATGAGTTGAGCTCCCTTTTGGACAAATGGTCTTACCAGGCCCCGTTAATCTCCTTCTCAAAGATGCAGGCCCATAGCCAGGATTTCGTTTCGGGGGGATGGATCGGGACAGGCCTGTAGCCAGGATTTAGTTTCGGGGGGGCTGAGTCTGAGTGAAAGAGGGTCTACCCTAGCAAACCTTTTGTATCATTACCCCAATACCCCCATGCATATGGGATATATTGAGTATGGTGATCAGATCATGATATGAATAAACATAACAGTCTAAATAATGTACCAGTAAGGCCTTTTCGCAGACCACAATGAGAATTTCGGGGGGGCGGGGGGCTGAAGCCCCCCCCCCCCCGTGGCTACATGCCTGCAAAGATGTGAACATTTTTGTTGCTCTTTATACTGCTCACTGATATGAATCAATGGTAGTAATGAAGAAAAAAGGTTGACTAATTTTGTAAGATGAAAAATATTTAAAGTTCCTTGGAATAGAAGATGTTCTGCAAAAAGCCAGTAGCACCTTGAGTTAACTTTAAGTTGTGTTGGTATTCTGGCCATTGAAAATTTCCAGGGAACCAGATTTCACAAGTTGCTTCTGTCTGGTGAAGGGATCTTTCATCTTTTGTTTTCTCGAACTTTGCTTTCCTCCTTTTCTATGATGGTAAATTCCAGTGCATTTTTAAACAGATTGGACTCCAAAAGAAGTTCTAAAGTAACTTTAGTGTCTTCTGTTCAGCGTAAAGGAAGTTGAAACATTCACAAAGCACTGGATTTTAGAGTTTTTCTATTAACTTCCATCGAGCCAAAATGCATCAGGAGACAGTGATAACCGAACTGAAATGATGTCCTCTAAAACACAAGTGGGACAAAGGGGTCATGTTCTGGAAAACAGTTTACTAGTCTCTTCACTGCTGGACAAGCTTTGTTTTTAATTGGCCAATACTCCTTTTTTTAAGCTTGCTGGAATTTTGGAGCTAAAAAGACATTCAAACTGGTTTTCAAGCAGTTTCTTAAAGACATTTACTCTTGAGGAATCTTTTTCTTAATAGCACTATGTCTGACAGAGGGTTGTTAAACGCGTGTCCTGAACCAATATGATCAGCAGGCAGCATTAGCTGTGTGAGGCAAAGAGCATGTGAATGGTATTATAAGATCACAGATGTATTGCCTTGTGGAGCCATTGTGTTATCTCACAGATCCACAACATATTATAAACATACTTACAAATTAAGTTTATTTTCATAAATAGGCTTGATTATATGTGAGAGTTTTCACACTGTTTTTAGATATTTATAGTTTTTAGTTTAATTGGTTCTCACGAACTCATTACAGGAAATTTCAAATATGTCACTAATTCCTAGTAGCTATGTATTTTAGAAGAAAGATGATGCCATCAAGCAAGTGCTTTGCTTGGAAAGGGGAGAGTTAAGAGTTCTTTCACTTACTTCTGTTATGCATACAAATATGCACTGCCTGCCTTCCAGGAGGCAAAAAACAACAGAGTTAATTTACCAAATTTGAGCAATAATAGAAGAACTTGATAATTCCAGCAAGTTTTCGAGAATGATTAATTCCTAGCCCAGTCCCTAGGTCTTTTCTGCACTTCATCCACTTTCCTGGCCCTATGATATGCTGTTTGCACTATCCCTTGCCCAGATGTTTTATAGTTGGCCATGTCCATTTTGTAATCCTGGCCATTGGTTTATTGAACCTTACCTGATGGAGCTACAATGCAATTGGTTTTAAAAATTTTATTTTTAGTGTGTTTTAGCACAATTTTTGTATTTTGTTTATTAAGTTAAATTAGGTTGGTTTATATTGTCTAATGTGCTTGTCTTGATGTAATTTGTCTGTATGGGTTTTGGCAGTTGTGTTTGCCATATATGTTGGAAACCGACCTTAGTCCCTTCGGGGAGATAGGGTGGTACACAAAGTTTATTATTATTTGTTTATTATACTTTGTTGTTGTTAAAGCCAAGGCTATGAGTTATGAGCCTTCTTTAAATAGTGATTCCATTTGTAAAACAATAGAGTTAAGTATTCTGGATTTGTTAGAGTAGCCCCCTCCCTCCTGACCTTCAGGAAGAAAGTAAAAACCTGGTTAGGGATACCAAGTTTTTAGTGCAACAAGAGAATACAGAATAGTGAACTAATAAATGGAATAGTGTGATTTTAATAATTGGATTTAAATTGGGTTGTTTAATGTCTTGGTTTTAATGTAAATGTTTATTTTATTGTATGTTTACTTTTGGCATCAAAATGCTGCCTAATTTTTAAGGCTGCTCTTGAGTCCCCTTCAGGGATGAGGTGGGCAGAATATAAATGAAATAAATAAGCAAACAAATTAAAGTAGTATAAATTTCTTCTGCTTCAAGGAGGGGGGTATTGGTGCTATTATATATTATTTGCTCGTATCTGGTTTTGTTGCTTTAATGTTTGATTTGTTGAAACATACATTCATAAATATTTCAGGTCCATCACAAAGTGCCCCAGGACCTCAGTATTCCAATTATCCTCAAGGGCAAGGCCAACAGTATGGAGGATATAGGCCTGCACAGCCTGGGCCCCCACAGCCACCACAACAGAGGCCTTATGGATATGATCAGGTACGTTTTTGAATTTTAGTTTCTAGTGTTCTAGTGTTCAAGTGTTGCGAGTCTTTGAATTTTGTATACATTTTTTGAGACACAGAAAGCATTGCTTGTTTTGGTCTACAACTCTTACAACCCTTTAACCAGCATCCATTTGACAAAATCAGCATTCATATCTAGTTATTGATACTCATATCTAATAGCCAAAAATATGAAATAAAGAGAACTAGGCATCAAATATGTGTATCCTATTGCTTTTAGTATTTACCCGTTTTGGATACTTCAGTATAAAAATTTGCTTATAAACACTTGTTGAGAGATAAAGCAAAAACCAGCAGGATTACAGGGCTATTCTGAGAATATTCGTGTTTACTCAGTTTATTCAGCCCCACCCCTATCTTAGTAACTAGAGTAGTAAGGCTGGATGCCTAGCTTCAGTGAAGAAGTCTCCTTTTCTGACCACATTTTGGACATGCAGGGCCACTAAAAGTCAAGCCACTATATTGCATGCTGAGCTTCTCAGCTGGAGGGATGGCAGAGTAGTACTGGAATTGTATATGAACTCCCATTGTCATTTCTAGCAATACCTCGTGGCAGCAGGGAGAAGGCTCACATCTACATATATGAAATTATGTGGTGGGGGAGGGAATAAAGGTAAACCTGACAAGAAAGTGGCTCATCTAAGTAAGAAAATGAACAAAGCCCTCTTTTCAGGATGGAACTATCCTCAGAATTGATATGGAGAAAAGAATTTGACCTGAATGTATAGATATTTAAGGAGTATTTTAAACACTACTTGGTGCATTATTTTCCCCTCTAAATTTGAATATGGAACTTTTTTAGAAGTGTAGCTGATCAGTCTGTTATAGCAAAGGCCAGAAAAAAAATCTCTATTGCATTAAACAATAATGGTTTTATAATTATTTGGATTTTGCATAAAATCTGATTAAGTAGATACCTGGGTCAAAAAAATTGTCTTTAAGTTGCTACACTACAAAACATTGTACAGCGTATTACAGCTTTATCAGAGTAGTGGCTTCATGTACAAGTTGTGCTACTAGTAGTTACACAAGTGCTAACAACAATTCTGGTATTCCTTTCACTACTGGAATGTTAGATCTAACATAAAGTCAATTCAGAAGAGGGCAGGTGTTTGTATATTGAAATATTTGGACTCCGGAACTTAAAAGTATTGTATCTAGTGGTGTATTTTCCCTGGAACTCATTCCTTCCACACAATTGGGACTTTACCTGTTTCCTACCTGCAGTCCCATATGCACCTTATAATTCTGCTCCATAGGGCTGGACAGGTGTTTGGTTCCACAGAGGGCTACCACAGGAAATAGATCAATTCCACACGCTTGAGATATGAAAACTATCACAGGCTGTTTTACTGATAATGGCTTTACAATATTATTTTGCAAGAAGCTTGTGCTTGTGAGAATTGCTCTTTTATATTTTTATCCTACCCTTTTATGGATAATTCAAGACATTTTGCACTCTATAAACGATGACCAGGATCCAGAGATGCTCCGTACATCTGAGAGATTTGGGATTTAGTTTCCTAACAAAGCAGCCCCTAAAACAGCTTTTAAAACTGAGACTTTCAGAAGCAGTCTCAGGTTTTGCAGGTGGACCTCCAGTTCATTAAGGGAGTATTTAACGTGTACCTTGAGAATATGAATCATCATCTGTGAATTTCAGTATTTCCATTTGGGGCTGTGGAAACCTAAAGGTCTTGTGAAGGTATGCATATAATAATGTATAAAAGGAAGCTTATCCTTTTTTGATGTATGGTTATTTTTTAAAGATAGGCCTATACTATTTATTTGTGTTAGAAAAGATTGTTTTTATGTTCTTATATTTAGCCCTTAATCTTAATTTTTGGCATTATTACCATATAAGGGTACATAAATGCTGACTTCAAGGGTAGGTTTTTGAAGTGTGTTGTAAATATTAGTTTAGAGTACGATTACTACATTGATGGTGGGCAAGGCAGTAGGGTTGTAGCTTACCAGTGGTTCTAGTCAAGTCTTCAAGAGAATGTATGAGGGCACAGATTGTAGAGAGGCTGTAGTCTTGAATGGGACTTGTTTATTTATTTAAGATATTTCTGCCCCGCCTTTCTCCGCGGCCGGACCCAAAGTGGTTTACAGCATATAAAACACACAATATCAACGATTTAACATAAAATGCAAAGGTTAAAGCATACTAAAAGCACATATAAGATAAAAACCAACTTCCACCTCCCCCATATCAGCCCCTCAATAAATAGTGGTAAACCTTAAAACTCAACCCATACCTATGGTACATGTCTTAGTTAAAGGCCTTCTTAAAAAGAAAGGTCTTTACTCACTTCCTGAAGTTTAGGAAGGATGGGGCTGACGTTAGTTCCTCCGGGAGGGAGATCCATAGTGCTGGAGCTGCCCTTGAGAAGGCGCCTTCTATCATTTTGCGTAAATGCATTTTGAATGGCACCAAATGGCAATCAGGGTCTCCTCGCTGGACCTCAGCTCTCAACCAGAGTGTAAAGGGGGTCATGGTGTTCCAGGTATGCTGGACCAAAGCCTTATAGGGCTTTATAGGTGAGAACCAGCACTTTAAATTGGGCCCGGAAATGAATAGGCAGCCAGTAGAGCTGTCTCAGGAGCAGTGTAGTGTGATACCAGCTCCCATTACCAGCCTGGCTGCAGATCTTTGTATGTCTTGGTCCCCAGCGTGTGAAAACTGCCATTCTCCTCACATTGGGCAAGGGGGTCATACATGTTCTGTTTATTAAGCTTAAATGCCACCCTATGATTAGCAACTCTTGAGTTGGATTCCTGCTCACTGTGGAGTGAATGCTAAGTATGTCTTGTTGGATTTGTTTAGACTCTCCCTTTTGAGAGTCTATTCTAAAGGATTGGACAGTGGATATATTTTCCCAATGTATAATTTTTGCCTTTATGGATTCTTTTGAACACTTAACTAGGACTATCGTTAAAACAGCCTCATTAACAAGCTTAGGAATAGTGTTCTTACTATGCTATATTGCATGACATTTCTGTCTGCTGAGTTCCCTACTTTTAATCTATTGTTTGTTTTTTATTACATGTTATACTTATATACTTTAATCACAAGCTTTATTTTAATTATGAACACTTGCAACACTGTTGTGAAAGTACAAGAAAAAAAATCTGAGGCATTGAATAATTACATTGGAAGTTAGAGAGCACTTTTTAGAAATCTAATGTTAATTTCCAATATTGAAGAAAAGTGACAGAATGACATTTGTTGAAGCAAAGAAGTATACCCTTGATGTATGGAATAAATAAATTCTATCAACTCTAAAAGAAATAAAACTTCAAGAATGTGTATAATCTTGAAGACTGCTAGCTTTAAGACCTACATGTTGGTTTTATTTGGGGGAAAATAAAAAACCACGTTCTATTTACTATTTCAATTTATTTCTAGGGGCAGTATGGAAACTACCAACAATGAGAAAATACATTCAGTACCACAATCAGTACAAGTTAGTCGCTGTATGGTTACTTCAGCACTGTGGATATCACCTTTTGAAGATAATCTTCAATTCAGTCTAGTTTTTGAAACAGAAGACAATAATGCCACATGGTTGATAAATGGCTGTTTTGCAGTAGATTGCTTTTCTGCATTAGTTATATACAAAACTGATAGCCCTTTTAAAAGATTTTTGCATCTGTACTCTAGATGGCAATATTGGACAGAAAATACACTCACAAACAATTTTGTGGTGAGCTTAGAATCGGATATCAAACAAACTGTTACAGACTGAAATGTGTGAACAGCATTGTATGTTTATGAAGGTTAAGGGAATTTAATATTTTTCCACAGATTCTTTTGTAAGGGGAAGGGGGGAATTTTTACAGCAGCAATATTTTATATATTACATTTTTTTCCTATGGAATATGCAAGGCAGTACACTACGCAAGGTCATAAACCCATATAGATAGGGAACATAGATTGGGAGAGGATGAATTCTTCATTGTATTGGTCTTGATGTTATATGAGAAGGTGAGTTGCCCACCATACATTCTTGACAGATGTTTATACGAAGAATTTGTATCTGGACTGTTTGAATGAAAATATGATCATGGACAATAAAAGATTAGTCTAGTATGAAGAATTAATTTTGAAATTCTTTGTGTGAAGCTGTTTTATCAAAATGGTTTCTAGCAGTGGCAATTTTCTGTATTTTTGGTAATTGAGTTTGTAACGGTCTTGTAATGCTTCCACATAACTCAAGCTGTGATCTTTTTCTGATTGCAGTTACAAGGAATTTGAAAAAGTGTTCTTTTAACCTGGCCTACATATGCAAAGTATTTAAAAACAAATTATAGATAGGTTGACACATATTTTATTTCATAAGTGTATTTAACTTTTAGTAGCATAATTTCTATGTAACAAAAATAGTTATAGAAACTTTTGTAAAACTCTTGTCTAAACACCAAGAGATAATATCTTTAAGAAAGAAGGCATTTGTTGTGTGTGTCCATGTTTGTACCGGTTAGTATGAGACCAAGAGCAAATTTTAGTGCAGTTTTTTTTTAAAAAAAAAGCCAACTTCTGTTGTGAACCGTATTAATACTTACAGCATTGCCTGTGAGGAAGCCACTATCTGAATCAGCAACAAAACCATGAAAAACACAACCGTTCAAGACCGTACTGCTTTTGTGGTTCAGGTACATTATTGAATACTGTGTTGCACACCAATACATGCTTTTAAATAGTGTTGGTAAATATTTTAAAAGATATAACTAAATTTAGCCCAAGACTTATGTCTGTTTATTATGTGTTGCTATATTTTTTAAATGGTAATAGCTGAACCTGAATTAATAAGACAGCAAAAGTCACATTCCTCCATGATTTTGAATGGAGAACGAAATTTCTTTTTTTATGTTAGTTGAATATTAAGATTAAGTTCTCAAACTGAAAATGTTAGGAAGATTGGTATGACTGAAGCACTTCTAGGTTCTGTGCCAATTTTCCACTACTGTGTACTTCATTGCTATTTAAAACTGTATTCCATCAACTAACAGAAGAATAAATTATTTGTGATTTTAATTTTCTCATTTGCTCCTTTAAATTAGGTTGCTATTGTGTTAGTATTTCATTTAGAGGTTTTGCTATGGATGTTTGTTTTGTTATGAGTGGTTCAAAGTAACCAAATAGTATTTGTTTTCTAGAACTTTATCAAAATTCTCTTGCTTTAGCCAAGTTAATTAGAATTAACTGTTCAGTAATCAGCATGTTATTTCATGTGAAGGCTGTTTGTTACACAACTCTTTCTGAACATGATCGTCCATGAGGCCAGTCAAGATGACTGAATTAGATAAATGAGTTGAGACAAAAAATCTGCGAAACTCAACCTATTATAGATATGTTATCTCATTTAAAATAAGCTCAGCTGACATTAAGAAATAATTTGTCTTTCCAGATGATCTTCTGTTGTCTTATTCCCATTTTTAATGGAAACTAAAATTGCAGTTTTAATAAGCAGAATTTCCTCTAGGGTTTCTCTCCTAGGGAATAATGTGTTTTCAAGGTTTAATTGTTTTATAACAGTCCTATTTCATAAAAGTTTTTAATTGGTGGTGACAGACATTACCTTATTCCTCTGATATTGTCTTAAAACAACAAATTAGAACATAGATCCCTTTTGATTATTTGCACTTTGTTTAATGTATTCTGAAACCTACACAAAGGAAAATACCTAAACAATGGGTTAAATTCTATATTATTCTTACTGAATTCAGTGAAACGTAACTCAGTTGTGACAAACTCCCATTAATTTAATTGGGTGTACTCTAGGTAAATAAATTTGGATTCCAACCAGAGAATACCATAACATGGTAATAGTATGATGCACTATATCCCATAAATGGCCATTGCCTTGTAAATATGATTGTGGTAAAACTTATAAGAATTTTGAGGAGAAAATGAAGGATCTACAATGTGGTGCTTTCTTCCATGGGTGTGTTTGGGGAGATTGCCCTTCTTGAGCTTTTTATACAATAAAGACAATGGCAATGATTAATATAGCAATTATATTCAAAGAAAAATACAAAATTTGTCTATAAATCTCTATAGCCAAAATAAAGATTTATGTTCCTGTTTTCAGTTTTCTCCGATGACAACATTAATAGGAAAATTTGTTGAACATGTTAGTGTACTGCTGATCTATATCATGATTTTGTTTTTCACATGACCTCCACAATTTGGGTTGTAGAGCTATCAAAAGTGATTAGCAGTTTTCCCTACTGTATTACTTCCCTGGAAAATATGCCAACCACTTTGTCAGTGAACAAATGGTCATTCAGCAGCTTGTCTGAACACATGTTTATTTTTGCTCACTGTGGAGCATGGAAGAAAAATAATACTGAGCAGAAGCACATTTCTGGAGAAGTTAAGAGATGGAAGTTTGTTAGAAGGTCAAGGTAGGTACAGTAAACATAAAAGGTAAAGGTAAAGGTAGTCCCCTGACATTAAGTCCAGTCATGTCTGACTCTGGGGTGTGGTGCTCATCTCCATTTCTAAGCCGAAGAACCAGCGTTGTCCGTAGACACCTCCAAGGTCATGTGGCCGGCATGACTGCATGGAGCGCTGTTACCTTACAAAGAGCATATACTGGATGTGATAATATCATGTGGTCAAATTACGAGTTATTATGGTATCTTGGAATAGAATTATGCTGGCTCTGAAGCAGCGACTATAAGCCATCTATAATAGGATAGATTCCTTACAATCATAAAATTATTCTGGATTCACTGACTAAAACTGTCAGAAACAGCTTGTCCAAAGGCTCCAAAATTTGAGTCTCCTGGTTGTTTAGTACCCTACACTATACTCTAGTGCCCACATTTGTAGCCCTCAAGCACCATCACACATGTTTTGTTCAAGAACAATGAAGGTTCTTGCAGGTTCTACTACATAGTAAAGATTTAGACTTTTTACAGCTAATTTCCTCTTTGTAATTGATGACAATTTACTTGCCACTTCAGCAGCTCAGATTTCATTTTTTTTAAACTAAGAACATGGCTTTGATTTTACTTGAAATTACACAAGTAAATACTGTATTTTACAGCTATCAATTTTTATTCATTTATTTTATTTACTATACTTATACCCCACTCATCTCACCTGGAAGGGGACTCAGAGTAGCTTACAATTTGGCCACTTCAGTGCCACATAACAATACAATGTATAAAAACATCATATTAGAACAATATACAAATAAACATAAATACCATAAAACTGTTAAAACATTTTTAGAAACATATTTTCCAGCTTCTTGGTGGAGCCTCCCCAGCGGATCTTAACACTCTAGCTCAAGGGTCCTCAAACTTTTTAAACAGAGGGCCAGGTCCCTCAAACTGGAGGGTCGTATTATAATTTGAAAAAAGCATGAATGAATTCCAATGCACACTGCACATATCTTATTTGTAGTACAAAAAAACACTTTAAAACAATATAATAATTAAAATGAAGAACAATTTTAACAAATATAAATTTATTAGTATTTCAATGGGTAGTGTACGCCTGCTTTTGGCTGATGAGATAGGATTGTTGTTGTGTGCTTTCAAGTCATTTCAGACTTAGGTTGACCCTGAGCGAGGGCCGGGTAAATGAACTTGGAGGGCCGCATCCAGCCCCCGGGCCTTAGTTTGAGGACCCCTGCTCTAGCTGATTCATAGGGAGAGATACGTTTGGACAGGTAAGTTGGGCCAGAGCCATTTAGAAACATTATTCTAGTATTTTTGATGAACAAATGGGATCATAGTGGGAGAAATGGATGCAGTTATACATAATCAACACATACTATGTTTGTATTGATATTAAACGCTTGGAAGTTTGTATTGATGGGTTAATTTCTCCATAAGTGAGATTGTCCATACTCTGTTGGGCCATTTTGAAGATAAATTACAGTGTTCAGCAATCCCAACTCATCAGCCATCAGCAAAATATAAAGACCTTATGTTTTAACTTTTTATTCTTTTCCATGAAAATGAAGAGTAGAAAGTGCCATACAAAATAAACAATAGATTCCTCTTTCTGCAGATAAATTGTAACACATCTAGGATTTTTATTTTATTTTTTTGCTGATGACTAATAGAGCCACATGTAAATAAAGGAGCCGTGATTGCTCAGATCTCAGTCTTGAGGGACAAGATCATTGGTGATCCTTTGAAAAGTATTTTGCGTTCATCACAGATTTGACAAAGATCCAAATCCACATGGAAACACCAATAATTTTGCAACATTATTGCTGTTCTTAACATGGAAGAAACTTCCCTAATGCTATCCACAGTAGCTTATGATGTTCTGCTCTCAATACTCAAATAGATGTCTCCCTCTACAAACTGCAGTGGAAGAAACAATAAATCCAAGGCTGCCTTTTCTCAATATATGAGTAATAAGACAGCAGTTAAAATGTTCCTTACCTATAGCTTTTCTAGAAAATAGCCCCATTACTTTCTGTGGGACTAAAACATAACCAGCTTTATTTGATTACTGTCTCTTTCCTTTCCAGTCTAACGAGTATGGAATACTTTGAAATCCACAATCTGATTTAGTAGCAACATTGACACCAGTGCTTAGAACATTTCTTTTGTACAGTTTGAAAAAGTTACAAGGAAAAAAAAACAAGTCCTCTGTGATCAAATAATTGTAACATGAGCTTCTTGTAGGCAACCAGGTGACCATCGGGTAGTTTTGGATTTGGAATGAAGAAGTGAACTCATAACTAAGTGAACAAGGAGCAGCCACATCACTGTGGAATTGGGACTCACATACTGAGTAGTCCCATCAATTTTTCAAAATAGCAATAAAGAACTGAACATTCATGATGTTTAGGGTTGGCTATCAGACAGCAGCTTTTAACAGATTTCTGTTCTCCCTAAATAACGAATCAAAGTATTGATTTTAGTTAACCTAGCCATGGGTTTCTTTGGAAAATTAACATATTGTCCACTTTTGCAAATTATACAATGCACCAGAACTGTCTTTTGACATCTTATTCAATCTATGTTAAATGAAAAGCTTTTGGACACATCCCTTACGTTCTTTATAATATGGAACTCCTGGCAGTCCTGTAAAGGAAAAGGTTTCCAACCATCAAACAATGGACATCTGGCAACTGTAGTACTGAGATAACAAATCATAATTGTGGTTTGTCAGATCTCGGACTATAAAAAGAATGATGCTAAATCAGATGTACATTTCAATAAGAAGATTTGTTTTCCTGAGTATGTGATCTGCAACAGGAAGTTTAAATGCTGATACAATAAGCAAGAACATGCATGGAATAAACTAAAGTAGGTATAGTCCGGTCCTCAGAGGTAGGCAAATAGGCTTTGAGTGCAGCTCCTACCATTCTTCACCATTGGCTGGGGCTGGCCAATAGGATCATGGGAGCTGGGGACCCTTGTATCTGGAAGGCTACATTGTCCATATTTGCTGTGCCTATTGATTTTGGCTGATGCAGATGGAAGTACATTTTGGTTGTGGTATTTTGCAAGTTTCTTTATTTTTAAACTAAAAACAAGACTTGCAAAATCTGAATGGGGGAGAAAATGGAATTTACAAATACTCTTTTCCCTGTCCTAAGCACAAACCTGGGTTTGCTCTATGAAACAACTACAGCATGCAGATTTACCAACTCGGATGGGATTTCTGAGAATGTGCATAAACATGAAAGGTGCCATTTCCAACGCCCTCAAAGTATGCTTTCTAAACAGATTTTTCCATGAGGATATAATCAACCACTGTAAGCTGAGTCCAAATTCAACAGAACTAATTGTTTCTTAGAGCCCTTCCACACAGCCATCTAACCCAGAATATCAAAGCAGATAATCCACAATATCTGCTTTGAACTGGGTTATTGGAGTCCACACTGCCATATATTCCAGTTGAATGTGGATTTTATACAGCTGTATGGAAGGGGCCTTAATCTTTAAAGAACAAGAGGGGTGCTGAAAATATAGTTCAGTCTTAAACCTTACTCTCTACTCTATCTCCCTCTCCACTACAGGATGCCTGTTTTAATCCATACAAGTTAGTGCTTA